GCGCAGAGTTTGGGGAGGATATTCGCCATGAAGGCAAAGAACTTTGCGTAGGAGAACATTCCTTGGCTGGATTGTTGGCTAATTAGGTCGGCATCCAAGGTTTCAGAGATCAAGGTATGCATGGTGTTGCCCGGCTTGAGGAGACGTAAAAGTTTCGCGCGTATGTTTTCCGCCATGGCCGCTGTCCATACCGCTCCTTCTCCATGCTCGATGCCCTGGCGCATGGCATCGCAGAGTTCGCGGTTTAGGGCGTCGCGGAGATCAGCAGTTGGTGATGCGTCGATGCGATATTCCTTGTCGATGGACAACTCATGGACGAGGATCCTGTTGGTGGGAATCGAGGTGAAGAGTTTGGAAAGAGACTGGGCCTGGTGACCCTCGGAGGCCTGCGTAGCGTCCGACTCTGCCAGCTGTGATGCCGCTTGCGCGTGCACCGCTGCCTGTTCCTCAGATATGGGAGACGCTGGCGTGGGTGAAGCAACACGTGGACGTGCAACTTCGCCGCTGGGACCTTTCTTAGGTCGTGCCCGCCGGGACTCGCGGATAGCTTTCCTGATCAGTTGTAGGGCACGATCAGGGCCTGCAAGACGCTTTATTTTGCTGAGCAAGATTGCTTGGTTGTCACGTATGCCGCTCTTGTATTCTTCGGCTACAACTTCTACCGTCTCGTCCTTCACGCTTTGCCAGATCGCATCGAGGCTGACAAAAGACGCCACCATGGTCTCGATGAGCGCAGACGAGTCGCGTGCCTTCCACTGGTTGAAGGCAGTCATGAATGCGCCATGCGCAAGAGCGACCGTCTCAAGACGTGTGGGTGAAGGAGTATAGTAGTTGAATGTTGCCAGTTTGCTGAGCGCAGCTTCGAAGGCCATGATGAGGTCTTTAGCCTTTTGAATAAGGTCCTGTTCCTGGTCGCCGTCGCGACTGAGGACTTGGGCAGGGTGTCCGAGGATCAAAAAGGCGGACAGGAAGGTTCGTACAGACGACCCGCGTGAAACCGCATCTTCTCCAAAAAGTAGCCCGAATAAGTTCATCATCTGTTCCGTGGCTGCCAGGACCTTGTGCTCGTTCAGCAAGGCTGTCACCTCCTCAAAACCAAGGTCGTGGACCTTATCGATGGACAGGCCAAACGCCAGCCATGCATCAACAATGTTCTTCCTGGCTCTGGCTCTCCAGGCGGACTGGATACGCCTCGCGGCCTCCTCAGTACTGACCGCACGTGGTATGACAGGCTTCTTCGTGTCGGCCGGGGGCGAGCTGGCGGTTCTCGGCCTGCGAGTGTTGCGTTTGTACTCCAGCCTTCTCTTCTCGGCATCAGCAAGCCTGTCTTCCATTTCCTGGCGGGTTCTCCGTTCTTCAGCGGCTTTGCGCTCCTTCATGTCTTCTGCGACTTTCTTTGCGCGGCGAACTTCTTCGGCGCATGCTGCAGCCACCTGTGCCAAATGGCGTTCGCGAGCTTGTTGGGCTGCCAACGCTTTCTCTTCAATGTTTGAGTTGCGAGGCGCGGCCTTTGCCAATGCAGCCCTCAGTCGGACCTGCTCTGCGTGGGCCGCTCGGTCTGCCAGTCTGGCCTTGCGGTTTTCAAGGATGGAGGCACGTCGCAGATGCTGGGCTATGTGGTGGCTCTGGCAAGTGTTGCGGAAGGAGCGAGTGGATGTGTGCGACTGCGTGGAGGATATGGAGTTGCGACGGGATGAAGTCGCGGACGACTTCCGGCGGGTGGTTGACGAGCGATAGAAGCGGGCGGCAATGCGCGGGGGTGGGGAGAAGGGAAGGTTGCTCTCGGCGCCGTCTGAAAGAACCATCTCGGCCTCCTCTGGTATGTCGTCGTTGGGAGGCATCTGCATGTCGCTCAGGTCGAGCTCGGGGTCGGAGAAGGATTCGTCCATTGCGGGCATGTGGACGCGGCCTCGTGATGCTCAACGGGCAGGTCGTCGTCGAGTCTCGCGAGTGTGTCGAGTGACTACTTGCGCAGCAGTTCTGTGTGTCTCCTGGACGTGAAACAAAGCACGGGCACGTCACGGGGGGTTGTCTGCGTCGGCAAGCGGTCGCGCAAGTGAGAGAGGTGAAACGGCGACGGAAGAATACGAAAGCGAGGGGCAGGGTCGAGACGACTCGTTGCGCTGCATCAGGGAGCACGACGAAGAGGAAGAGGGCGAGGGCGGCGGTTGTCGGTGGCTGGGCGAGGGGTGCCTTCCCAGCGCCCGCTCGCGCTGACTGAAGTTGGGCTCAAGCTAGTGTTGCTGGATGACATGCAGCTCGAACTGCGTCGAAGGAGATCGACAGCGCTCCCGCTCCTGCCTCAGCCTTACGCATACGGCCTGTGACGACGCCGCCGCCTGCCTGCCTCCGCCCCACGGCGCTCTGCACCAACAATCCTTCTCTCAAGGGCCGCCTTGTCGCCTCCAGGTTTCTCGTCGTGGTAGCTCCGTCACAACATCTCGGCAGCCCTGACGCCATGTACAACTCGTGCAGGCTGTTGTGCACGGCCCGCATGTAGATTGCAGGACGCAGGCAAGAGATGACGAAGCATCCAATCTTCTCGCGTCACGTGAAAGCTAGCCCTCCAGGGCTCCAGCTCCATGTATCCATGCACTTATTCCATGGAGCCAGATTTAGCTCCCGATTCTGTACATGCATTGCATGTTAAATTACCCTGGAGTACATTGTCTTCCTATTCACCTGCCAACCAATCTCTTTGTTCACACGAGAGGTCCTGTCACTGTCCCAAGTAGCCCAATCCCCCGCCTATGTCAGCAACGAGCATAAATCTAGCGTAGCAATGACAGCCACGCGGATAGTTTCGTACCCGCAGTCTCTCGCTTCCATACGCTTCATACAGTATCACGGAACACAAGAAGAGATAGTTTGTCCGGTTCGGTACAGACGAGATATGTCGTCCGCGACTGGAAGCAATCCTTCGACCTGTCCGGTCCTGGCATGGATAACTCTGGCGAACGATACTGACTCTCGTTCTAGGATATAATTCAATTACTGTAGTAACCTGTGACTGGCACTGCAAACGAACGACTTAGACTTATCCGGTCGCCCACCCTCACGGCGCACATGCAGACCCACCAAGATCAATGGACTGAACCGCAGTTAGCTTTACGGTGTCTAGTAGGGGCCCCCTTTTGCAGTGTTTGTCATGACGGGTTTGAGGCTTCTGGCGTCGCGCGCGTACCTCGCTATCGTTGGTACAACCACGGGGCAACCGAATTCACCTACCTGGAATAACAAACGCTCTAGCGGGGCTTTGCAAACACAAGCTCCATTCCCCCTCAGTCTCCCGTTGTTTCCTTGGATCGCCACTCTCGCTGACCGCAATCATCCCCGAACTCGCCGGACTCTCGCTAACCACAATGATCCCCAAGCTCGCCGACTCCGGCTACCCAGTGTTCGTTGCTACATCAGTCTTCGTTGCTGTTGCGACGATCGCGTTTGGACTTCGCGCTTGGGCTCGGCTGCTTATCGGTGCCTGGGGCATTGATGATTGGCTTATGCTCGTCGGATGGTAAGTGGCCTCCCAACATGCGTTACAATTCTGACAATCGAGGCTTCTTTTCTTGTCGCAACCAATCATGACCCCGTTCTCGCGCGTTGGTAGTTACCACTCACATGACCCGGCGGAAGCAGGTATTAGCCTTACAATCGCGGAATATGAGAGTGGACTCAAGTGGCGCTTTTTCATCGACCTGCTATACACGGTGAACACCACCATCATCAAGTGCTCGATCTGTTGTCTCATGCTCCGCATTGTCCGACACAACACTCATCGACGGATTTTCAAAGGCGTGATCTACATCTCAATCATAGGCGCCTTGGTCCGGATCATCGTTTGGGTCGCCCGTTGCGAGAAATTTGAGGACAATTGGAGAGACCCACACAATTTCGAGAAAGGTGCATCTTGTAGTTCCCAAAAACTATTGACAGACGTCAGCATCTTCTTCAGCAGTATTTGCATAGCTACCGACTTCGTTTGTGCGATCTTCCCGGCGTTCTTCGTCAGGGAGCTGCATATGTGCTACAAGCAAAAGGTCTACCTCAGCATCATGCTCGGTCTCGGTCTATTGTAAGTCTTCAGTTTCTCGAACAATACAAGCATGCTAAACAAAGCCACAGCGCCTCCATCGCCACAATCACCCGAGTACCATTCCTCGTCAGGTACCAAGATCCAGATGAATTCCTCGCCAAGCTTCCCCCCATCGCCATCTTATCGAATCTCGAGATCATGCTAGGCATCATTGGCGCGTGCATAGCAACTATGCGTCCACTACTGCGATTCATCCCTAGCCTGGGCGCAGAAATGATGTCCTTTGGCAGCCAAGGAACGCCAAACAAGGTCTACAGAATGTGCCACATGGGAACAGAGAGCGGGATCCAAGAGGGACAGCAAAACGACATGGACAGAATCGGCAGTCGGGCGCTTATGCTTCCTCAGCGTCCTCCTAGCGCCCAAGTCAAGGACGAGACAGCCGGACACGTTTACATGTGCAGGCAGTTTCCAACGGTGGCGGACAAATAGCTCAACACATGCTACTCCGCTCGAGGTATCGTACTGATGATTTTCGCAGATTGGACGCATCTTGGAAATTGGATGCAAGACATTCTGTAGCAGATGGCTACATACCATTTGCATAACCGCCTAATAATATAAGCGGTCCAAAACGCACCCCTGCCATTCTCACGTCGCTTGTAAACTTGATGTTGAGATTTCTGGGCCGCGTCTCACCAGCATCCTGGAGATTATCAGAAGAGCACCCAAACCCATCCGTCGTCCCGCTGAAAGTCGGTTCCGCAACACACAGTGAAATAACAATGAGCAAGCCATGAACCCGCATTCTCATACATTGACACCAAGAGCCCAAACGTGTTGCACGCCTCATTTTCCCTACCTCTCTCTCCCCAAAGCAAAAAGACTCACACCCCACAACAAACACCATACATACTATCACTGTCACAAGAGGACAGCAAAGCCACGGGACAAAAAGCGAAATTCACTCCCCCGCGTGGGCTCGAACCACGAACCTCCCGATCGCCGAACCAAGTGGTTTAACAGTCGGACGCGCTAGCCAATTGCGCCACGGAGGATGTTGATTTGCTAATTGATAAAGGTTTTCATAAATATTGCATTATCTACCCGAAAACATTTTCCAGTAGAAAGATGTTCGAGTTGATTGGGGATAAGGGCTGATAGGTGGGTAAGAGATTTGTGGGTGGCAGGGGTTAGTGTGGGGAGAGAGAGAGAGGGTGCAGTATGATTGGTGGCAGTAGCGAGGGGGATCGTTGCTCCGTACGCACTTGAGTGGGAACTGGGGTAGGGGACTTTCAACTTCTCCGTCGCTCTGACGGGGAGTTGAAAGTCCATTCTGGAAACTGCATGGTCGTGATCACGGTGGCTGTGGTCTGCATGCCGCTGTTGTGCATTTGACGAGTTTGCTCGTCTGTCTGGCTTGCGCGACGGCAATTGCTCGATGCACACGCTTTAGACTTGCACGGAGCAAAGTTGAGAACGGATAGGGCAGGTTTGCTACGATTTGATTTGATATATACTACATCGCACGCGGTGTACTAGTACGGGGGTTAGGACTTCGCGATCTGTCAGACGTTTAGATTGTAGGATAGATTCACATTGTTTAATCAGTTACAACGCATATGTCGAGCGTGTGTCTTACGTGAGTGTGCAGGCGCAGTCAGGAGAAGGCTTGTGGTTGTGACGCTGCGGGTTGAGTGGGGTCAGGGCGATCAGTCGCTGCATCAGACCCAGTCGCGGAGGTGCATTGCGGGGACTTGATCCTCAGATTCCACATAGCCTGCTAGCTACCGATGACGCTCGAAGAGAAAGCCTCCCAGCCAATTTAATTTCCGGTCTATGGGATGAGGTATGCACGGCCAGTGTGAGTTCATTGCAAGTGCGTCAAAAGCACCTTTCTAACGTATATTTGAGTCGATTCTCGTTCGAATCTCCAACCTAAGCAACGTGAACTAGATCCCTATGTCCTTGTGCATGAACACACCGTTCTGAAAATCCACAACGACTGCCTTCTCGATAGAAGGCCCTGCTGCCTTCTTGAAAGCATCATGTACAGGGTCCTGGTTGGCGTAGTAGTCGCGGTCTTCGTTGGAAGAGAATTGCAAGATGAAAGCATGACTCAAGCCCTCCTACCACAGTTGTTAGCTTGTTGTTAGGTTGTTATCCAGAACTTAGCACAGTACCTGTAGGTTTTCGGGCGAATTGTTTTTCCCACCAGTTATCGAGGTGATGTATGGCGCTCCTGTTGTAGGGTGGATGCATGACTTTTGGAGGCTGAGCATTTGCAAGGTGATCTGTGCACGGAGTTAGTGATACGCGTTACTTTGGATGCAAGGTCTTGTACATCTTTCAGATCGGCAGATGCTACGCCGTCCTTGAATTTGAAGAGGACAATATGCGTAGTCAGCTGTGTGAGCGCAGCCTGCGGACTCTCCTTGAACGACGAAGTAGCAAAGATGGAAGCGAACGACCCTTGATGCGCTTTGGCGAGCAGGAAGATGATGAGGACGAGGAGGCACAGTGCTGCGCCCATGAGGGAACGATTTCTAAAGATCATTGCTGCGGACGATTGGAAGTACGCTTCCAGACTCCCGTCTGATGGAAGTAGATATGCAACAACTTCGCTCGTGGACCGCCTGCTTCACACACCGGCCAAAGCTCTCCACAGTGTTCTTCCGTCGGAATCTGCCCATGCTGGTCTAACCCGAATTGGCGCGCCTGACCTCGGTTGACGAGACGAGCTCCAGGGAGCTTGGGCCACATGCTTCCTCGAAAAACAGGAATGACGTCTTTCGAAAGACCGGCCTCGCCAAAGCCATGCAATTTCATCATGGACGATTAGGACTCGCGCAGGGTACGCACTGATGCCACTAAGACGCATTGGTGACGCTGTTGCGGGTTGCAAACCTGGCTGCCATTGGAAGCATGTTGTTATGGGCTTGGCACCACCAATGCCATAGTTATGACGTAACGAATCAATAGGGTCAGGTGAAGGGCCATCACGCTTGGAGGTACAAAAGCTGGGCGTGTGCCTTGTCCCTCGACCTCTCTACTCCAAACTCCATCACCAATACCACACTTTCCGAAACTTCATCACATTCCAATCCATCACAATGGCCTCTCTCTCGTGTAAGCTGCTCTCTTCTCCCAGTGATCGCGAGCGACTTCGATCGCCGGTTGCGCGAGCTCTGCCACCAATGCAGCTCAACACGCACACGCATCAACAACACGCTCAGAACCATCTCTAACGTTTCCCCACCAGACCTCCCCCCCGTTAAGCCCTCGGCCATCGCCCTCGGCACCGCCTTCAACCACGCCGTCTCGCTCGCCGTCCTCGGCCCCGTCTTCGGCGACTCCTACCGCCGCGCCCAGGCTGCCAACTCCAAGGAGGAGTTCTTCAACTCCAAGGAGGCTGCCACCGCCGCCGCCTCGTGGGGATCTTCCCTCGCTGGCTCCGCCATCCAGGCCTACGGTGTTGGTGCTTTGATCAACGCTACCGGTACCCTCACCTACAAGGGCGCTGCTTACCTCGGTTCCCTCATCTTCTTCGCCTCCGCTGCTCCTTCGGTATAAACTCCCCGCTGCAATGGTCATTGGCAATAGCAACTAACATACACCAGGTCGTCTCCCAGGTCCTCACCGAGAAGCGTCCCCTTGACACCATTGCCGTCGGTGCCCTCGCCCGCGTCTTCGAGACTGTCGGTCTCTCCCTGTTCCTCACCTACTGGGGAACCAGGACCAACCCCTTCGAGTAAATGTCTTCTCTTTTATTAGCGGTGTCAGGATCTTTCCGGGCATAGATTGAAATGCCTACTTGTGCTGCGGACACGACGAGATTATGAAAAGCCTTGAGAGGCCTGTGCAAGCATGATTGTAACAATATCACTCAAATGAAATGCATAATCCAATGTCGTTTTGATCTGCGTGCTCTTTCCATGTGCTCTCCCTACGTCTAATTTTTCGTAATGCATGCCACTCGGGTAAACTCGATCTTTACATGAACCTACGGCTATCTACGGCTACAATTCCTCTCGGAATACGTTACCCTGTATCTTCAGGGAAAGGCTCACCTTCGTCAAACTTTTTCGCAATAAAAGTGGTACGTATGCGTCGCAGCAACAATGTTACAAAGGTGTTAATTGGCAGTAACTTCGTAGATGTATCGTTACAGGAATGTTCACCACATTTGGGACTTCTGAAAGCATGTTCGAAAATATCAAATTGCATGTACCCTATTGAAGTCTGCTCTTGTTCTTCCACCAACTCATCCCCCAAAACACTTCGTTCTGACATCGTCATCGGGTTTGCACACGCCACATGCGATACTGCGCCCTTTTCGTTCGATAGTCAACCACAGCTATGGGCACCGGGTTCTGTCTGGAAGCTGACAACAACGGGACCGGCCATACCTCACTATCTTCTCCTTTGTTCCGACTCCGGCTAAGGGTTACAGTGAGAATGCTCAAAAGTGGACTGAGTTTGTTTCGAGTATGTGTGCGAACTACCCGAGTCAGTGAGCCCCTTCTGGAACGAGTCGTGGTCACACATACCGGATCGTGAGGTTCAAAGCAAGTAAACAAATGAATCTCCAGCACATAAGGCAAATTCGGAATGACTATGTACGGAAGTCCGTGGCGTGTTGAAGGTTCCGCGCCCGGGTGGTACTTCTGACCGAGTTGAAACATCTGCTTCATTTCGGTGGTCTGAATATACACTTCTTTCAGAGCTGGGCAGTGTTTTTCGAGGCTCATGGTAATCTCTTGTTCTTGAAGAAGCTGGTTCTGACTTCCTGGACAACACTCAGGCTCCACGCGCAGCCAGAGATGTCGGATGGCAGGGGGCAGGTTGGCGAATGATCCGAGTCGCCTAGCATCGATGCGCAACCCTTCGAGTTTCGTAAACGGTTGAAAGCTTCCAAAGTTTAGGAGATTGCCGCTGCAGCAGAGGTCCATCTCAGTAGGGTATAGTACGTCCATGAGATAGACATCCAAAAAGACCAGGGAATGAGCTTGACACATCAGGACGGACTTGAGCTCTCGTGGTGTAATATAAGGTTCAAACCACGCGTCCTCCGGATTTGATATGTATGCAAAGTACTTGAGATCCGAGACACCTAATAGTATCTTTCTGAAATGGTCGACGTCAACAAGCGTACAATGCTGCAAATAGAGACCGGTAAGATGTGACATGCGAGGAATTGGCTTGATCATATCGTCCCCATTCTCGAGCCAATATCTCATCGAGAACCAATTGATGTGGAAGATGTTTATTGTAGGCAGGAAGAGAAATCCAGTGAAACTTGACAGCTCTCGCGACGTGGATCCATCTGGTATTGTGATAGCTTCTAGAGCGGGAAACATCTTCTGCACATCTTGAGCTGAGTATTGGTAGCCCGGAAACAGAACGCCCATGCTTGGATGTGGGTATGGAGGATTGAATATGACTACCCGAAGATTACGAAGTTGCATGAGTAAGATTGATAGAATGGCGAATACTCCTCGCTCCTGGACCATAGCTGTCCAGGATGCTGCTTGCGGAAAGATTGCTTCGTTCGTCTGGGAAAAGAGAGAGACATCGTTTGTGTCCAGCTGTGGCATTTCAGGATCGGCTCCACCATGGAAATCGAGGTCAATAGCTCGGACCAATGCTGCAAGATCCTCTCGCTGGAGAACTGTCCTGGTAAATTGGACCACATTCCAGGCGATTTGATAGACAGCGCCCACAAGTGGGGTGTCTTTGAGTTCTGGTATACTGAATAGGTTGAACAGGGCCGGCTGTGCCACGTTTCTCAAGACCTTGGACGTCAAGCACAAGTTGTAGAGCGCCTTATGATCTTCGCCTCATGCGGAGTTCGGCAGCAATCTGGTGCAATAGCTCAGCCGCTAGGCCAAGCAGCAGTGACGGGCATCCTAGGCTCTCCACAACGGTTTCGGATTCGTTGCGTGTTGCCGCCATAGCGGTATCACTACTCGCAGAGGATGTCACGCTGGAAAAAGTGAAGTTGAAATGGATGAGAGACAACTGCTGCGCGTTTTCCGTCGCAAGGACTGAGGCGACG